GTGATGCTGTCATGAAAAAATAAAAATAAGTTAAAAATCATATAAAGGAAGACGTCTTGCAAAAAAATTGAAGAGAAAGAAAAAAAGAGAAAAAGAGGAAGAAAGAAAAAGACGTAAATAAAAACGCAAAACCTGCATTTTACACTACAGGAGGGCTATTTTGAAACTCGAGAGAGAGGGTTTTTTCAAGAATCTTATGAGAAATGTCATACGTCAACGTGTAAACAGAATTTTTAAAGCCAGTGAGAATGAACATTCTTAGGAGAATTCTAATTCTCTCGTAATAAACCGAGATAGGGGTCTATTCTGTAACAATTCCTTTATATTTAACGGCCTTTAAAAATATTTTCTTCTTTACTTCTGTCATTATTTAAACGGATCTTTAAAATACATTAGAGGACTATCTTAAAGAAATCTTTTTAAATAATGACAGAAGTAAATTAACGAATACGAACATATTTTTAAAGGTCGCCAAATATTTTTAAAGGCCGTTAAATATAAAGGAATTGTTACAGAATAGACCCCATAGTCAGTGAGTTCTAGCTTTAAAAATACTGTTTTACCGTTGACGTATGACATTTCTTATGAAAATCTTGAGAGAAATGAGTAAGTACTCCCATGGTATAATAATAGGTCCCCCAGAAGGAATCGAAATATTAGAGGAGAATAGAAAAAAAAATGCAATAATATACAGTGTTCCATTAAAAAAAACATGGGAGGTGGCCATGGGGACAAGACGGGGAAAGTTACGAGTATACATGAGCAAAAAGACGTCCACCTTTATATGAATTTTGACTTATTTTTGCATTTTTTTCATAACAGCCTCATCTTTAAAATTATAGATTTTATTAAAATGACCTGTATATTCAGTGCTACATGTCTTGGAGGAGGCCCAAGCCTTGGATGGACATTTTTCGTCAATTATTCTTGTCTCTCGCCTCCTCTTGACAGTTTCGCACACCTAGTCTGTGTAAGTCGCTTTCCACTGTCTCTATCTATTTGCTTATTGGTTTTCCTTTCCAAGCCAGTAGTTCTCTCAGCAGTGCTTTTTTGCAATTCTGTTATCTGATTACCTTAATACGTAATCAAGCCATCTTATTATTTGTGATTTTTTTACTGACCTTATCATATCTTGGTTCGTTCTGCTTACCTACTTATACCTTCTACTTTTTCTAATTTTTCCCCCATATATGGTGTGGACATTTAAAAATTTACAATGGCTATATCTAAGAAAAATGATATCAGAAAATGATTAAAATTGTTTCTAGGATAAAAAGGAAGAACTTAAATGTCAAAATACATCTTACTTCTGTCAACCACCTATGCGCCACCTACCTCAACAAAATAAAATAAATAGCAACCCCCTACATTATTGGAAATCTAGTAAAAAAACCTTTTAACGATATAAGTTATACCTTATATAATAGAGAGTTATTGCAAGTTCACTTAAGGTCAGTCACTATTATTGCCGCTCTTATTTTGACATCTGAGCATGCGCAGATCACTTACATTCTAGAACTGACTTTAATAAAGATTGTGCCTGTCCTTAATTGTGAATGTTTAAGAACAGCAGTTAGTGGCGTCTTTATAGTTTTCGAGTGCGCTCGCCAACATTCGTATTAGTTCGAAGTTTTTTAATATTAAACATTTAATATCATCGTCATCTAAATCTTCTAAAATGGTAATTTCTGATGCCTCTTCCATGTTATGTACTATTATAAACAACAAAAAAGATGAAGTGTAATTTAAAATTTTTAAAATGAGGTTATAAATATGTAGAAGGACAAGAACTCTAATGTCAAAATTTCAGGTTTGCAATAAGTCTTATTTTAGCATGGAATTTATTTGCCTCTAATTACGTTGTCACTATTAGTGGCTGACGTTATAGAAATTTACAATATCTCTCTAATATCTCTCTAATATCTATCTAATATCTCAATAGTACACATAGTAATTAAAATCCTATTTAAAAAGAAGATGGCATGTTTATCTAAATTAAGTATTTTTAAATATTTCTAATCCTAGATGTTACGGAAAATTGCCTTATGGGCTAAATAAATCCATAAAAATTACTTACCGATATTTTTGATGGTCGTATCCAAAGTTATTGATGGGCACTTTGGGATAGGGTTAAGGAAAGAAAAAGGGAAGTGCACTATTAATTATAATATCAAAAATACCGAATTAATTGTATAGCCGGTTTTCAATAATCAAATCTTTATCGACCGAGTCTTAATTAATAACTACTTTTGTACCGAGTGTACAGAAATCACAAAATATGAAAAGCGACGTTGTCACGTCTTAAACTTTATACGAACTCTACTGAACACTAGAGTACAAAATACATTGTTTTATTGGGTTTTACTTTTCTGGTATATACACTTCTACTGCTAGTGGGTTGGCGCGTATTGTTCTACCTCTCTCTAATCAATACCATCTCTTTTTATATACCGTTCTTATGTATCTGTAAAGTGGGGAGGGTGGATTGCACAAAGTGATTCCCAAACCTCATTACTATTTACGTTGTCTTGTATATATGCATTGACCTGTAACCCTTTTCGTCTAGCTGTAACTTCTACCCTTTTAAGGACTTCAATTTATTGTCGTTTATTACATTCTTAAAACCCTCTCATGACATCCAACATTTTTTCACTTGCTATCTATCACCCTACCTGGTCGAGAACCAGTAATACTATTACTGGCAAAAATATACATAGATATTAACTCGTACGTCCAATGGTAGATATTTTCTTCCAAGTTAACTTTCCAATTAATTAATCAAAATATGACACATTCTTGTAAATTGTAGGTATGTGAACAAGAATAGGACACTTTTGAGCACATCCTTTATGACAACCCCACATTTGCGTCCACTAGAATATATATGTTCGACAACTTTCCAAGTCAGATAATAATAATAATAATACTCTCCCTAATTCAGCCCCTAACGAGTGAATTTCAACCCCTGAAGCCGACTGAGCTTGTGTGGGGAAGGGAAGCCTATTATTATTATTATTACTACTATTATTTGCCGTGGCGATTCGGGGTAACTTAAAGATGATTGATGGTGCCATTTGACTTACAGATGAGGAAATCCTGGAAAAACCTTGCCCACCATCATCGAAACGGTAACGCATAATATTCACCAGTGATTGTTTTACCCTAACCCAGATAAATTAATCATGATGAGAGAGAGTTCAAAAAAAAAGACGTACTTTTCCAGCATAATTTTTAGCACGCAACTTCTTATACCTCGTATTCACCAAGAGCAAACACGAAGAAGCAATGACAAGCGAGCAGATTGAAAGCAATACTTTCTCTACTGCTAGCTTCTGATTAACATTCAGATATTTGGAATTCCATTTTGCAGACATGTCCAAATCGAGTGAATTGTATGATGGATGCGTTCATATGAAATGTTCAAATATTCAATGCCTCAGATATTCATTTAGTTCAATTTGACGATATGATGACATCAGTTGAGTGCAGCATTGGAATTGTATATATTGTGCGAGTGATTTAATCGCTATACCACATAAATGCATTTTTGAATAGTGTTTTTGTGGACTTGTAGAGAAAGTGTACCTCTTCTACGTTTCTTGTGTAGGAAAGTTGGACATTCAAAGTTTTAACCAGTTTTAGTCGCGCTTTATTTAATTAATAGTATTATCAGATCACCGAATTGAACTAAAATGAATATCTGAGGCATTGAATATTTCACAGTTCAGGTCGATTTGGACATGTCTAAATGTTGATCACAAGCTAGCAATAAAGGAAGTATTGAAGTGATATATTTAATGAAGATTAAAGGCTGACTTTTTCCTGTTGGATAAAATTTGGTACATTTCTACTATCCAGAAACAATGCAGTACCTCTTTGCTAGTACACAGGGTGTTACATGACGTACTGTACAAACTTAAATAGCATATTCCTGAGTTAATTTCAAGCAAAAAATGTCCTATGAACAAATATCCAATTCTCCATGGTTGCCGAGCTACAAACGTTTAGAAATGTACACAATGTCGACATATTTTTCATTAGAAAACAGCACAGGCATTATGCAAATTTAAATTTATCACACAGAAAACGTAGTTGACCAGACAACTGACATTAATTATAATCTTTGTTAATAAACAAATAACCAAAAATTTTGAAAACATGGCATACTACGTTAATTTATCTTATGATCTTTGAATGATTGTAGCTCGGTAACCATGGAGAATTGGATATTTGTTCTTGGCAATTTTTTTGTTTGAAATGAGCTCAGGAATATATTTAAATTTGTACAGTACGTCATGTTACATTCTGTATACGTACAGCCGGCTTACTAGAAGTTAAAACTGACAGAGAACCCTAAAACAACTCACTTTATATCAGGAGATTTTGATCAACCTCTTTACAAATTAAAAAAGTGGCTTAATCATATCGCCTACTATTATTACGAAACTGTAACATTACAGTTATTACTACTATCCACAATAAAACAGGGCTCTAGCATTCTATCTGCTAGTAGATCAATATTAACAGGGCATTGAATGCTTAAAAAACATATAATGTATTTCGACCTGGCAGAAGAAAATTTGGGTTACTTTTTTTAGGAAGTGGAGGAAACTCCAGTAGTGACCACAAAGTTTCATTTGAGAAAATCATGAAAAAATAGCTGTAAAATAGAGCTATGGTACCTATTAGAAAATAAAAATCTACACAAAGTGCTTTAACTAAAGATAAACGGAGAGCAACAGTACATATGCAAAGGTTGAGTTACGATGTGATTAAATTTCCGCTTGTAAATATTGAAAAATCTTATTTGAATATTAGGTAATATTAAAACCCTGCCGGGATTATGATTAATTTTTTCATTTTTAAATAGTTTTTACGTATTTTACGGCATGTTGGTTTTACTCGGGCATGGTGTGAGAATATAAGCTTCTTGATTCTACTCATACAATCCCGTACGCAAACAAGAACAATACAAAATTTTAATACAAATTTATACTCACCATCACTCATTTGTCCAAGAATTTTCATAATTTCTGGAAGGTCTGGTGCTAAAATTTCTGGACGACATGTTCGAAATTCCTCTAACACTGATTTGGCAACTCGTTGTCTGGAAAAAAAAAATAATTTGGAATCATTCTCTTTATTAAACATTTTAGTTTTCTGCATAAATTCGTTAAAGCTAAATCCGATATATGTTTTTATAGTATTTATTCTGCAATAATAATAGTAATAATAATTGAAGGGTACGGGGTCAAAAAGACGAATGTCGCAAAAAGTAGTTATTTCATTTTTTATATCTTTGGATTGCCATTGTAGGATTGTAAAATTTCTCTCTTTTCTTTATATTCGCTTATCTTGTGAAAACTTTTTTGTATACTTGTGCTCCAGTTATCTATTCCCCAATACCTATACCTGTGCCCCAACCAAACTAACTAGTGAACATAAAAGTAAAGAATACAATACACAAAAAACGTTGCAGAATTGTGTTACAGTATATTCAGTTTTTGTTTTCGTGACTTGATTCTCGAAAATTTGAAAGTCTCGAATCGACGTCGAGAAATCTTTTGCGAGAAAGACATCGAGACGAAAGTATGTCGACTTCTTGTCTCGATGATCGATACAAGACGAGAAATTCCCTTCGAGACGAGATTTCTCGTCTCGATGAAACCCTAACAAAGTCTGTCTACCACTGAATTTCAATTGGCCACTGAATTTTAATATCATCGCTGTTGCATGACATTTTAAGAGACGTTTATTAAAAAAAATTAAATTAAAGAAATAATTAAAAAGTATTAAAAATAATAAACTATAAAATAAATATAAAATTTTAATGTAAGACAAAATTAAAATGGATTAAAAATAATAAAAAATATCAATAATAATTCCCTACAATTCACTCCTTTAAAAGTAAATCCCACAAGCTAGTGAGGGGAGAGGCTACTTATAGATTATTGATGGTGTCATTTGATTTACAGGTGAGTGAAAACTCAACCGCCAGAGTCGACAAAACCTTCCCCTACAGGGAAGAAAATTTGTGTGTCGAATTACCTAATAGAAATTAATTAACTATTGATACGCCAGCCGTTAAATCCTACAATAAACTTATTTTTACAAATATGAATTTATATTTAAGAGTTTTAAAGGTAATTTTGTTCACTGTATTGCAGCCTCCATTTTGAATTTGAAAGTTCCAAAAATCTACAATATATAGCATTGATCTGTCATTTTCTATACGAACTTTTGCCCCACGTGTGTTGACATAATTAAAAATCAATTTTTGGGCGCCATTTTAACTAAGCTATACCTTCCACATGAAGCAGTTTAGGAAGTAATTTTAATTGAAATCTTAAGGTTGTTTGTTACAACATTATAGACCATCATATACTGACAGGTTTAGGTGTCCCATTTTCGAGTAGAATGAAAGGAAATTTACGAGTGGCTTCTGGGGATAACATATGGTAAATTCGATTTTCTTTAATAAAAAATAAAAGGTATTTGTTTCTCGTATTTTCACGCAAGACGTGTTCACTAAATGATTAATAGAACTAGGCTTCGGAAAACCAAAAGCTTTAATGTTGCAAGTGACTAAAGGGTTGAAATAAGTGCGGAATCTTGTAAGGAAAAATTGAGATTTTAACTGATTTTTTCACACAAGCCTATCGAATGTATGAAAACGTACATCGACATTAGTCCGAAAAACATATTTTCTTGAATGACCGAATGGATAAGTACATTTTGGGATTGGAAAATATTTTTGTTAAGGAAAATGGAATTTTCCATGTGTTATCAAAAAGAGCCACTCGTAAATTCTGCTCAACAACGATGTACTTTTCAACCCTCTTCGAGGCTTGTATGCAAAATGGGGCACCTAAATATGTCACTATCTGACGGTCTATTAAATTAAGTACTAAATTAATGCATTTTTAAGTTCTAAAATAATTCACGTTGCAAACAGCACATTTAATACTAAATTTAGTTACTAAAAACAGATAGGTATTATAAGAACTTTTATTTTCTACTAAACTTAGTACTAAAAATGAGCTAAACTGTTGCGCAAAAGCTTTTTACAGAATTTAACTTATCAAATGTTGACAGTTGACAGCGAGCAGTGAGCTTTGTTGTTTGGAGATTTAAGTTTTTAATAGTGGATTATCACTTCGTTTTGTAAATAAAATTATTTTCTTTTATCTCTAATTACGACCATCAATTCAACCATAGAAAATTACATATAGAGGCCATTAACCCTTTCAAAAAGAGGGTCAGAAGAACCAAACACATACTGTGCGAATGCGACGCTCTAGATCGCAAAAGACAGGCACTTTTTGGACAACCCCAGGTTAATCCAACAACGTATAAAACCCACTCACCCAAGGATCTGTACAAACTTGTACAAGGTACAAACGTGACAGAGTGGGTGCTATGAACTAACATGGGGTAAAACACAATAAGCCAATAGGCTTCAGTGTTATTCGGAGACATAGTCAGACGACCCCAGGAGAAAAAAAAACCTTATATTTCCATTTAAAAACTAAAAAGAATGTTTTGGTAGTCTAATAATAATCAGTTGTTATCCAAAAACAATATTACTTGAATATCACACCGTGAAAAAGCTTTGCTAGTAACAGTAGTAAATTTCGGTAGTCATCTGATTACGAAATGAAATATGCTTCAAAGGCATGTAACAACATTGTACTTTATCAAACGACACCTGTGTCAATCACTATCCTGAGCAAAGTGGTTAAAAAAAAATATTTTATATTAAAAAAAATCACATAAGGTATGATTTTGTTTGCCCTGAAAATTGCAATCCCAATTCAATGAGCATTTAGCAAAAACAAATTCATATTTTTAAAGGTTTTTACCTATTAAATCATGGATAGACGCTTTTGTGCGATGTTAAGGGAAGAAAGTGTTTCCCTTTAACGATTTATTTTCTGGAAAACTTTCAGGGCAAACAAAATTATCGCTGTCATGTCTTATGTGATTTTTCGAACATAAAATAGTTTGATTAGACTACTTTGTTCAGGATAGTGATTGGCACAGATGTCGTTGGTAATGTACCATATTTTTACATGCCTTCATGGCCTATTTCATTTCGTTTTGCAGTGGGCTCTTGGACTACAGTGGGTATTAAAAATTTAATAGTATTGCTTATTAATTTTTTTAATATACTTATTGTGTAAGACAGCTAAACACCATCTATTAAACTTTTTTTCTTAGATCAGTGTTGCTATCACAAGCAAACTAAGTTTTATTAATAGTAAATTAATTTGACAGGAACTAAATACTTTATTGGTCATTATTAAACAGTGTAATGATAGATACTGAACAGCTTAATATAATTGCATTATTATTTAGTTTATATAAATAAATATTGATGATTTAATAATGTTATTAATGACTTTATGGATGGATATTTGCAGTTTTTAATATTATATATTAACCACTTTAATTATGATTATTAGTTTCATAGATGTCGTCCAAAAATATCCCCTCCCTCAAAAATTGGCAGTGGTCTCTTTCTAACTATAATATGAAATATATCCATGTAAACCTTAGGAAGTATCCCACCCTAAAGTTTATTTTTATTATTAGTTTTAAAAAAAATACGTACATAGATAAAGGTTAAATCTGGGTACTGTGGACCCACTTTTCCAAAATTTTGGTTTTGTTACAAAAAAAAAATAATGAAAAATAAAATATAACAAATAACAAAATTTCGAACATAGTAAATAGTTTTTTCTACAACTTAACAGACAACTAAATAATAATTCTAATAATAACACTATTAAAAAAAAGATAATACCTATAATTCCATAATTAGATAAGTACCTATAATTTGAAATATTTCGACGAATAGGTAGGCAACCTAGTTGATTAAAGTAAAGTGAGTAGATTTTAAAAATCAAAACTAAAGTTAAGGATAATTCCCCCCGGATTCTTTATCATCGCCAACGAAGTGCTACGTCGCAGTTCGTATGGAGATGGAGATCGCAGATAGCTCGCGATCGGCGATCGTCATTTGAGTATATACGTAGAAAACACGATCATCATCGGAGGAGAACAAGTTCGCGGAACACTCTGATGTCTTTGATTCATTGGAGAACGAGGCTCCGCCCCGCGACAACTAATCTAAGATGGCCGACCGCATGGGCAAATTTTAAAGGATTTGCGGCGCAATATTTTTCGATATACGTTTGGGTAAATTTTCGAATTTTATGAAAAATGTGTAATTGAACAAATAAATAACTTTTTAAAGGAATTTAAATTGGTTTAGGTATATAATATTGCACAATTTAACATTAGTTAAATATTTTTTTTATATATTTAAACAGTTTTGAAATTTTTATATTTCGAATATTTTATATACTTTTATGAACTGAAAAAATGTACAATATTTGACTTATTACAAAAAATATCCCTTTGATTGTGTTTGAGGATCACCACTAGGTTTATTTTAGTTTGATATTGTTCTGCGAAAAAATTGGAATTGTAATTTTTGCTGGATCCCTCTCTGCATTTTGTAACATAATTTGTAGGAAATTGAAGGTAGCGTAAGTAAATACTTTTATAAAATGGCGATAGGTGAAGAAAATAGAAATATTTTGTGAGTGCCTATTCGAGAGTGATTCTTAAAGAGTCGCAAAATTAAAAAAAAAAACAAAAAACTTAAAAACATAATACTTTTGAAATAAATGTAAAGTAACACAAAATTAATAATCTATTTAATAACATTTAAAAACAGACTTACAATTAAAAAAATCATGGGTTCTAAGTTTTACAATAATTTTTTAATTTCTTTTTTGAACTTATTAATACTTGTACAATTTTTAATAGCTAATAATAATAATAATACTCTCCCTAATTCACCCCCTTACGAGTGAATTTCAACCCCTGAAGTTGACTGAACGACTTGTGTAGGGGAAGGGACGCCTATTACTATTTTCCGTGGCGGTCTGGGGCGACTTAAAGATGATTGATGGAACCATTTGACTTATAGGTGAGGAAAACCGGGAAAACCTCACCCACCATCATCGAGACGGTAACGCATGGCGATTTTATAATCTGCATGTGATATCAACAGAAATTGAATTTCTATAAATGCAGCACACATCAAACCCTATAGAACCATGCAATTTCATTAAAAATCC